TTTCCTATTTCAATAATTATTAGTACAAACGAGAAATTTCAAAAATGATAATTTTTAGTTACACAATGTTTTATTCTTCATATTAATTTTTAAACTAACTCTTCTCAAAATAATTTCTAATAATTCTAACTCAAAAATGACTATCAATAAATAATAATAATAATAAAAATAATAAAAATAATAAAAATAATAGAAAATTCATAGTAAATACTTGACATAGTTCATATTTCCAATGAAATATAAACTACGTGAATGGGTTGAAAAGTTTTGTGCTTGATAAAGAAAAAAAATACCAGTTTTTTTATTTTTTTTTTTTACAGTCAAAATTAATTTTATTTTTCCATATAGTCTTTTCAATACATCCTCGTATATCATACTAAACTACTTTATATTGTATTATACTGTACTATTCTGTATTATACAGTATATATATAGAAAATACATATACACACCATAAATGAAATCAATGTGGTATTGGATAATAAGTGTGGAATCATTCTAGTTATACTATTTGAAGGGGGAGGGAAAAAAATTGATGAAACTCACGTAACTGAGACTCTTTTTGAAAGCATTGATAAATCTTGTACCAGTTTGTCGCTGTCACGCGACTCTGATTACCCATAAATTTTCGAGTAATCATTCTATCGTCTGCACGCATACTATCTCGATATCGCGTGTGTCTTCTCCAAAAGAAAAGATATTTCATATTATAATAATACCATGTAAAAGAAACAAAAACAAGGCATTCATTTATGTCTGCATTGCAGGAAGGTATAATTACATATTTTTAAATAATACAAATAATAATGATAACAAAAGTGGAATATAATTATAATGATTTGTTCAATTTTATTGACTATAATTATACATAAATATATAATTTGTTACATTTACAGGTGAAATACAACAATTCTTATTGGGATCTCTAGCAGTTGAATACGCTATCTGGTGGCTACATTCAAAATTAGAGTAGATAGGTCGAATTGCTACGCCACGTGGGGGGATCCTTAGCACTTGAATACGCTGTCTGGTGGCTAAATTCAAAATTAGAATAGATAGGTCGAATTGCTACGCCACGCCCTTGTAAGAGATCCCAATATATCATTTTTCAGATCAATTACTGTAAAACTTGTAGCATAAAATCTGAACAAAAATTTACCTAAAAATATTAATTAATAATAAAAATCTTTACTTCATCTTGTACAATAAATTAAATATATATTACAACTTTCTAAATAATGTTAAAACATGATAAGATTTATTCAAAATAACCTAAAAATAATTTATTATTTTGTGTATACAAAATGTAAGCACATTAATTCAAAATACACACACACACACACACACACGAGTACACATGTGAAAAAAAAAAGAAAGAATAGGCACATTATTGTTACGTACAGACACATTTGATACTCGTGTACGAAATGAAATGGTAGTCAGCCTACGCGGGAAAGAATGACGCGGTGAACGGATGTAGAAGGAAATTGGCGTAATAACCATAAACAGTCACTAATGTGACAATGAATGTGCGACTTTTCCTATGGCTATTTAGAATAACACTAACGATCAATTTTCAAATGAAATAATCATGAAAAAAATCAAAATGAGACCTAAAAAAACAAGGTAAAAAAAGAAAAATGTATGATTCGACGACAGTGACCTCTGTGAAGACGCCATGTTGATATTTTGTATTATTCATGTCCACTTCACGAATAGAAATGATTTATTTAACGAGATTATTGTGATTAGAGAAATAAAATATGTTGCATTATTATCCTCGAACTTGAACATAGAAGGAAACAAATTATTATTAAATTAGTATACCTTCATCTCATTTTATTTCATTCTTTCTTTTCCCATTAAAATATCCCTTCCTTTTTCTCACGAACAAAAGCATATTATATATAATACACACTCTAAATAAAGGTACGAAGTATTATAGTATTGTTTAGTCAACGTCCGAAGCAGACAATAATGATCACAATAACGGAAGTGTCAATGACTATTATATATGCATAAGATTCGTTACGAGGGAAAGTGAATTTCCTGTTGAACACTATTCAACATAAGTTCAAAAGGATAACATTATATTATATTATATTTCTCATGTTACTTTATAATAATACCATTAGAATTTTGATTCACGTAAAGAACGTTTGTATACTCGTCTAATTACTTAAAAGGAAATAGGTACGTGTATTAGATTTCTTTGTGTATTTTATCGAAAAATCATTAAAGAATGATCAATCCTGATTTATATTCTTTGTCTCGAAGATTTTCTCAGAATTTATGTGTGAGACATTTTATGCAATTGGATTTAAACAAAAAATTCCTAATCAGTGGTTCTCAATGAAAATACCATTGAATTTGTTTTTATTTGAAATTTGTTGATGAATTTTGTAAAAAAAATATTTGAAATTTGTCAATGTGAATAAAGCTTTAGGATCTCTTCTTTCTCTCTATAGATCACGATCTATATAAACGTTGGATCGAAGATAATAAGGTCGTAGCAATCTACTCTTCTTTATAACGTGACCTTGTCTCCTCGTTTCCGTACTTTTATAGATGTAACGCACTATAGCATTAGTTAGGTTCATCGACCGGTTCTCTCTCTCTCTCTCTCTCTCTTTCTCTTTTTCTATCTCTTATTCAATTTTATTTGATCATTCTTTGAAAGGTTTCTTCTCTCATCCTAGAAATTCATGTTACGCGAATATAAGAATACGTCCTTGGGTTAGAAACAAAGCGATTACGTCTACGAGAAATGATGTCTTACAAATTTTCTAAGCTCACTCAGTTATATAAAATAATATAATTATGTAGAAAGTAACCAGGGTTACATCATATATTATTTGTTTAAAAAATTAGAAAAAAAACAAACAAAATAGTTTAGAAAATTTGTTATTAAATATCGTGAAATATCTATATACCACCCCCCATTTTTACCCTTAATCACACGATATTTATTAACTCGTCTAACAGGGGGGTCCTATTATATTTCATTTCGTGTCTCATTTAGCATCATGCCTTGGTAATGATGATCGGACGTATAAATTTTCATTCGCTCGTAGAAGATTATCGCTTCATCCTGTGGAAAGATAGGGTTAGAGAGAAAGAGAATTTATTATTGGGCTATATTATTATCGAGAATCTAACACAATTGTCACTTTTTGGGGTTTTTATTTTTTTTTAATAATTATATATTATAATTAAAAATATTAATATTAATATTAACACATTTACGACTAGCACATTTTTTCCTTTTTTAATACTGAATACCGGTAAAAAAATAATGAATTATTAAAATATATACTTAAATAATAAAATATAATTATTTAAATATTATATTGAAATAATGAAATATACATTTAATATATAAAATTTATATAAATATATAAATATAAATTTAGTTTTATTATTATTATTATTATTAATTGGCGTTAGGAACTCGAAAGTTCATTGCCGCAAATACCAAATCCCGCCATTGTCCCCATCCTTCCATTCGCGGTCTTCGTATCCGCGAATTTTAATTTTGAATTTTTTTTTTAGTTTTATTAAATTTGTAAAATTTAAAATGTCGTGAATTACGTCAACGATCGCGACTGTGTTAATAATTACATTTTTTCATAATTATCGACTGAAGGTAATAGGAAAAATTATATTTTAAGGATAAACAAAAAAAATGAAACAATTGTAACTTCAACATTTTTTTTAACATCAATCGTTAGAATATTTTGAAAACATTATTTTTCGATTAATTATAAAACGAGAATTGTATGGGATCGTTAAATCCGTGAAAGATCTATTACAAGAAGAGGAAGATGATGATAACTGTACAATCGTATTACCGTAATGCTGATTTGCATACAATCGATGAAATACAGTCGAAACTGTACATCCTTTTTTTTAATATTATTCCTAATATGGAAACTTAATGACAAGTGGGTTGTTAGTTAGTTAGTGCATTTGTCTTGTAACGTGAAAACATCAATAATAACAATTTCTCTCCTTTCAATAGGAACTTTAATGCAAAGGAGACAGAAAGGAAGAGAAAAAGAGAGAGAGAGAGAGAGAAATTTTATTTTCCTGATTTTCTCCAACGCATTCCAACTCGTTTCACACAGCAACCGTATTTTTCTCTCTTCGTTGAGTGAAACGTACAAGTATAACGCATCTACAGGGTGTCTTATAAAAAATTTATCTTTATTTTAATGATTTTTATTATTCATTTTTAAACAAAACATAGAAACCAAAAAGAATATGGATTATTTTATTTAATTGCAATATTTCAATTAATTTCAATGAATTTATACAGAGATGGGTTGAAAAGTTCTGTGTTTACACCCAGAATATAAAAAAAAGAAATACTTTTATGTTTTTACAAAAATAAAAAGAACTAAAATTATTACTAGACTAGGCTTTAAACTATTCAATCCACAATTTATCCATTATAAATTTTAATAATTTAATATATTTTATATTAAAATAATTTAAAATTTAAAATTTTTATTTGATAAATAATTTAATTATAATTTTATTTATTCATTTGTTTTATATATATATATATATTTAACTAAATTTCTTTTTTGACTTATTGAGTCAGCCATATTGGTATTTTTTCGACACCTAATAAATAATAACTTTCCTTGCCTATAATAAAAATTAAATATTTGTATATATTACTCTATATATTTATATAAATTAATATTAACTATTTGTTATATTATATTTATAAATATATATTTTCTTAGAAAATATAAAAATATCTGTGATTTATCTGAAATATCCTTCGACATTATCTTGACGTTCTTTCTTCCCTCTTCCATTTGAAAAATTCGAATTGCTAATCCTCAAATTTGAATAGAAGGAAAACAACAAAAAATACAGAAATGCGAAGGTAAAATAAAACAAATAAACAAATAAAGAAATAAAGAAAGAAAGATGGAATGATACTACAGAGACACGTGACAAATGAAATTCATGTGAAGAAGACGTACCTATTGGTAGCATCGATGGTAGCAAAACGAGATTTCTCGTTGTGGAACGGCGTGCCGAACGTCATGACGGAACAGCTCGATAAACTCCGCCGTTGTTGAGAAGAAGAAGAAGAATTCTTCGTAATAGAGGACGATGATACACGTCCGTCGTTTCTTCTGGCGTAGCTCGTAACACCAAAGAGTTCGGTTAGTCAGCTGATCGCACGATTTTTCATAACTTCGCTGACGGTACGCATCTTTATTACTATCGAAATTTCTAAATCCAACGAGAAAATTCCCTTCCTTCTTTCTCACGAATATCTTCCAAATCCGATCTTCTTGTTATTAGTTTTTTTAATTTTTCAAATTCTTTCACCAATGAGAGAGAAAATGTCAGAGAAGTATGTGTCAAAAAAATAAATTGGGATTACTACAAACTCTTTCCCACTTCTAATTTGTATCCTCAAATAAATCTTTCTTATTCTTGAAAGATTCAAAGTGAAGTTTGACTTAACGGTATCAACTTCTTTTCTTTATAAAGCAAGCGCGTGTATTACGCGTATGTGTGTTATGTGTGTGAGTTGAGAGAGAGAAAGAGAGAGGAAATTCAACAAGAATGAGCCCAAGTGCAACGACCCTATTGCTTGCGTATACGAAGATTGTGTGTGATGAGATCCTTCTTGTTAATGATCCTTTTTGTTATTTATTTTAAATAAGATTTTTTTTTTTTATCCTTTTATTATTCGCCACCCAAATTAAAAGAGAAAAAAGAAAGAACTCTTTTTGAGATAAAACGTATTCAACGATGATTTAAAAAAAAAATAAAAGGAAGAAAGATAATAATACGATGTAGTTGTGTAGGAAGTTATTATAATAAACTATCGGCGTTTCTGTTTCTCTGTCTCGAAAGGGTAAAAGTTAAAATTCGAGACAATCGAAAATGACACGCAATGTTCACAACGCGGCGTCTGTCGGGCGACTGACTACCGAAGAGTACCGAACACTCGACACGATCAACTCCGAACCCCTTCGCGTCATCCCCACCACCAGATATTTCATACCGCTCGAGCTACCCTCTGTCGAATCCCTATCATACTTCTCCCACCTAGCGTTAATGTCCCTTTCGTCCTTCCGCACCACTAATTTTTCAAATTAAAAGTATATAATTAATCCTTTGAGTATTGTGAACGCACATACTAACATTTGTTGAAAGTTACCGAGTATAGGGATTACGTACGAGCACATGCGTTTATTGATATTAATCCAAATAATGTCAATGTCAATTTTTTTCCATTTCAAATGATAATTCTTTCATGTTTTGTCTTTAATAATTAAAATTATGCTTGATAAAAACTTTCTTCTGTTGTTATTCCATTTGTAATAATAACGATTGTAATTTATTGTTAACTTTGTTTATTAAAATCAATCAACGAAACTTTACCCTAGCAATAAAGTATTCCATCCCTACGAAACATTTCAATTAAGAGTATTCTTACAATTCAAAAAGGTTCATTTACTTATTTCCAAGTATATATTTTATGTTACTTTATTTAACTACTTTTCACATTAGAAACGTAATAGTAAAAACAAATAATTATTAAAATATTCATAAATTTGTTTGGTACAAGTAGCGCAAAAAAAAAAAGAATAATTTTAGAGTGTTTTTAAGAATTGATTTTTATATGTACATACATATATATATATATATAAATAGATGTGTAATAAAAACTGGGTTAAACTCGTTCGAGTGAAAAACTTGTAAGTTTAATAAATCAACTACTTGAAAGAAAATAATTAATTATAACGAAACAAAATAACATGACCCAAATATAATATGAATAAAGAAAGAAGAGAAAGGGTAGTAAAGAGTGAGAGAGAGATAGAGTGATTAAAAGTATCAACAAAGGTTTTAAAGATGATATGAAAGAAAGCATCTATGAAAAGCATCGGTGACGCAGTTCCGAACGTTCCACATATCCTATGTGTCCTCTCTACGTCACACTATTATTTCCAACCCCTTTGCTCAGTGGTAAGCTTTACGAAGCAGATAAGAAGGGTTGATCCATCTAACACATATACTATTCCAGATATTTTCTCCAAAGGACGATAAATTAGCATTTGAAAACGGAAGATCAAGGGATAAGGAAATAAACTATGTGAAAAGAGTTCCGGAAAGTCAGCCATTTAGTCAACCAACCAATCAATCAATCAGTCAGTCAGTCAGTCAGTCAGTCGGTTTGTGAAATTCGGTTTGGTTTAGTTCGGTTTAGTTTTATCTTTTTATCTCTATCTTTATTTCCATTTCTTTTTCTCTCTTGTAACCACTCTTACGATTTCGATACCGCAAATGATCGCAAACGTTACGACGACCATGACCTTGTCTCATATTTCAAACAAGTTGTTATGCAAGGACAGACACTCGAGAAGCTACTTTCGGAAGATGAAAAACTTTTCATCTTTCCTGTGCATCATCCTCTCTTTGATTTTAATTAATGATGATAGAAACTACGAAACAGATTAAAACATTTTTCTAATGTTCATTTTATCAAGAGTCTCTCCTTTAAATTCGTGAATTTAACTTTAATGTACTCACTCATCGTCTACATTTAAATACTTCGTTTGGATGAAATGTCAAAACATTTTTGCCAAAACACTCGTATACTTTGAAATCCAATGAGACCTGATGAAATAAAACATGGTGGATAATAACCTATGTAAAAAATGACACTTCCCCACGATATTCATCCATCATTTTAGACAAACATCAATTGTGCCATTTCTTTCTGTCAAGGTATGTAATCGTAAGTATAATCAAAAAGTCACTTCACTCGTTTAGTTGTTGTTATTTTTTTTTCTCTTTCTCCTAAATCGCTTAATAACTTTATCAACTTCTAAAACACATGTGTGAGTTTTGTTGTTTTGCTTTTTTATTTTTGTTGTTTTCGTTGATATCAATTTGATTGATAGAACGACAATAACGACAATGAAACGATAAATAAAATCCTTCGTACTGTTCTGTAGAAAAAAAAAACAATATTTTTTGTTTCCACGATTCCATCATATCTGGATAACACACAAACATAATCGCGGTTATCGTCAAAGAGTTAAACTAAACTCGTATTTTATTTCAACGTTTCGCGACCACACTCCACTTCTGTGTAACCTTTATCCCAATATCCTAAAATACATATAAAACTTGTTCATAAATATTAACCACAAATCCTGATATTGAATGATTGATGGACGACCAACCAACACAATGACATAACAAATAAAACAGGTATACGTTTTCGATATCCGTTGTATTGAACATATATTTATTGTATTTCCTTTCATCTCAACCTCCTCTTCCTCCTCCTCCTCCTGGACAACGGACAGTAATTAACATGGTATTGTCAGGAAAATTACCTGATTCTCGTTTCATTTCCCCCCCCCTCATTCCTTCTCCAATCCCCAATACCTTAACCAACTTCCAAAACACGTGTGGATGTCTCTCTTTCCATGGATATTTGGCTTGAAGCCGAGAGCTGTGAACACGGGAAACGATTTGAAACGGCGGAAGGGGGAGAAGAGTGTGTCTTTCGAGTGGATTTCGAGAGGAACTAGTCTAGTGCACTGCATCACAGTGAAATGCACCGAACGAAAGAATGAAATGGGGATAGATGCATCGTGTATGTTCATTCGATGAACGATTACAGATGTGTGGACTTGGATCACATTGAAATCTCAATGATAAAGAGTAGGCTTATGTTAGAGTTGATGTTATCGACGTAAAGTGTATCAAACTACCCCTTCAACCCCTTCTACTATTGATGTTTCCTGATTGTATCTATCTATCTCTTTCTATCTGTAGATCCAGATCTGGATTTGTATTTATCTCTCTCAAACTACATATCATTCGCTGCATTGGTCGATTCCATATGATTGTTTTCGAATGAAGTTGTCTACGGTAAATCTAATCATAGCTGAGAGATCTCTAATTCGGGAAATACTTGATACCACCCCGTTTAAACACGCCATGGTATAGAAATAAATTTGAACATGTAATACTACGAGTACGAGTTTAATTTACGTGTTAACATCTAAACATACAAATATCGTTTTGTTGCAATTTTGTATGATTTATTACGATTACAATTGGATCATTTGGAAATCTAACTAATTACGAACTAAGTTATTACTTTTTTTTCTTTTTTTTTGTTTGTGATAATTATTATAATTTTGATTTAAATTGATGAGTCTAATGTTGGTTTCCTTTTTTCTTTTCTTTTCTTAAAATCATTAAAAAACAGGAACATGCAATTGTGTTTTTGGATTAACGACAAGTTAATTAGGAACCTAAAGTTATCTGCAAAATCTATCTTGGACAATTTTTAGAAAGTTTAGGTTTTAGTTGTTGTTGTTGTTTTTTTGTCTTTTGTTAAATAAAAGGAAGAAGAACGCGCCATAAGGAAATATCCCGCAGTATCCTTGAACCCTTCGATCTTAACAAGCGTGACCATTTAATTCGACTTAAGACTACGAATTCCGGAGTCACGCGAGCCTTCTTAATGCGCGTACCACGATTAGAATCTTTCTTCTAATCTAAAATAAGCAAATATATTTATGTATGTACATATATACACACACACACACACGTACCGATACACACACTAACGTGGTTACTATAATGCGAATGCATTTATGTCAAAATATTAAATTATCATCGAGCTTCAAATTCAAAGCATCCACCTAATGCAACTGCATACAAAATTATACTCTTTTTTTATTTATTACATCAATGTATAAATTAATTTATACATTAATACAATAAATCAAATTATTGCATTTTTATTTTTTAATAATTAATAATTTATAACATATAATAATTAATAATTTATATATAGCATATAATAAATAATAATTAATAATTAATAATATAATAGTTAGAATAATTTTCTAACAAAATAAAAAAAAAAAAAAAGAAAAAGAATAAAATAAAAGACAGATTTATTTATAATATTTTATTTTATTTGTTGATTTCTTTTTTTTTTTAATGTTTCTGTATATTTAATTATTTTGTTATGTTCTTACTTGCATTATATGCAGTACACTATAAGTCTGTCAGGATAGTTAGGGATTTTAAACGGCTGTAATGGGTCGGTAATTAAGAGAGCGCATCGAACGGGGTTCAGTTAATTGCGCGCACCAACCTAAGTAAGGGTCAATCACCTCGAAAAGAGAGTACGATGTACACTATGGAAGCAAGGTCAATTAAAAGGTCATCCAAGCTTGCACTACGAATTATTTTTTTTAATCTCCGAGATGATTTTTTCTTTAATCTCATTTTTTTTTTTTGATCTATTATTTAGTTTGAACGCAAAATTTGGTTATTTCATTTTTTCAATCGAACAAACATCTAACAAAATGAATTTATTTCTATGAAAATTATTTTTGTGAGATTATTCACATTTTTTCTATGAAAAAAAAAAAAAATGAAAATGGAACGTGGGAGCCACAAAAGAAAAAAAAAATTAAAAAAATAGTTAAAAGAAAGAGTCACGTTTCTTTTCTAACAATCTCGAAGCCCACACATTGAATACGTGATATCAACGTGATGGTGTTTCTCGTTGGACCCTAAAGAAAACGACGTTGAAATAAGAAAATGAAAATGCTTTTGATATACGTCGTATGGTGTTACCAAGAAACAGAAACACCCTCCCTTGCGTCCAAAAATATTTTCTATGTTTCACGTGTCGCATGATTCATAGGGAATTTTCATTAAATGTAACTTATAAACTAAAAATAATTTATAAATGGTAATAATTATTTTGTAAAATAAAAATAACAAAAAAAAAACAAAAAAATAACAACAGATCCGGTTATAAAGTGTATTCATTTGTTATGTAAAAAAAAAAAAAGAAAAAAAAGAAAAAAAAATTAAATTAAATTCTATAAGAATATAATTTCTTTTTAAATCAAGCAATTTAGATGCAAGTTGAATTAATTGCTCGATTATTATATGCATGCGTACGTTAAAATCATAAATAATTTATACATATGAAGGTGTATACCGTAATAGTTCGAATAAAGTGTTACAAATCAGTTTTTTTTTTTTCTTAATTATTATATGTAAAGTTACAATCGTAACGCAATAAGTACAATTAGAAATAATTTTTTTTTTTTTTTTGTAAAAATAGAATATTAGAATTAAATCGTCATGTCGATGACTTACTATGATTGCAATGTACGATATCTTAATGTGAATCAACTTATAATTATCCAACGTAATTCTTGTTAAATAGTATTGTTAATCTTCGTTAAAATAA